AGTTCCAACTTACCCGTCTAATTGTGAAACATTTTATTTATACCTGATTTTAGGTAATAGTTATCGTAGTAAGAATCTCAAATTTAAACATAATTGCAATTTTAAAGACCATCTGTTCATTTATTCTCTTAAAAAATACTAATTTGATAGTAAAAATCAGGTCTGCGGAGTCGGAGTCCGAGTCAAGAAGTCGGAATCGGAGTCGGGCAGATTTTGGGTTAAAAGGAGTCAGAGCTGGAGTCGCTAAAATCAGGTCGACTTCGACTCCAATTTTTGTTGGACAGTTTGAATTTGAAATGAAATTAAAGTGAATTGAAAAAAGCATTAATCACAAACTGAGTTATTATGTTTATTCATAAACTATATACATTAATAAATAGTTATTTTCTGTTTTGACATATTAGTAAATAAATATAAGGGAGGAGGATGGATGTGATATTTGTCATTAGTGATTAAACTGATTAGTTACTTCATTTAGCTGCAAATCTCACTGGTAAAATTTAGGTAAGCAGCAATAAAAGCAAGGACTCTCAAAATTGATGCCATTCTTAGGAAGCGAGCAGGAAAAGGAGCAATTACTGATCAAGCAACGCAATGGAGAAGTACATATTTGGTGATATAGAGGTTGTTAGAATTAAGAAAGTTTTTAGAAGATGTAGATAACTCTAATGCTTTACTAACAGAATAACTGTGGAATGATCTATCAGAATTGAAAAATCTTCTTTCTACACCGTATATAACCACAAAAAAAGCTACAGTTTGAAGAATTAAGAGGAGGCGAGAATGGAAGAATGTGATGTTTGTTCTTTCTGAATTGGGAGGGGGTTTACTGCAGAAGGAATCATTTCTTCAATGAATTAAAGAGAAACTAGTTTGCTAGACAATGAGATCTTGCTGGGTTCAATATATATAGATCTAAAACACCCAATTTTGTTGGATGATGAACAAATTAAGAAGGCGAAGGAAGCACTCTATGAACTTTCAATAAGAATGAAATTATTTTGAGAACAATTGAAGTATTGAAATCAGGACAGTCAAACTGCAGATATTGCAACTGAGTCTCTATTATCCTCTTCCAATGATGAATTAGATTTTGAGACATATTTTAGGTAATATTGAAAAGGATAAAGGAAAGCAAATGAAAATAAAGAACCAAGAGCGTTTAGATATAAAAATGAAAAAATAGAAACAAGATTTTTACGCGGCCTTTGAAGAAATAGAGAAATGCGACTGCTGTTGCAAGACACCTCTTTTAGAACTTATAAAAATTTATCCTGAAAAGTTAAAAGAAGTAGCCCAGTAGTAATAGCTCTTCCTCCTTCACAAGTCAGTGTGGAAAGTTCTCAGCTTGGAAGTTTATCAAATCGGATCTATGTTTCTTCAACAAAGATCTTGCCGAAGCTATACTGTTTTTTAGAAATAACTAATGTCAGTTTTTCTATTTCATAATAAATGCTAATTAATGTAAATAATTTGCTATGCCATTAGTTTCTTTTCTGTAACATATATTACTTCTTTTATATTAAAAAAAGCCTTAACCCATGCTTTTATATATAACCATAAACATATTTATATACATATGTTTACATATATATATATATATATAATAGAGTCGGAGTCGAAGTAGGAGTCAGAGTCGGAGTCATTAAAATTCCGAGAGTCGGGGGTCGGTCATTTTCCCTACCGATTCCGAAGCCCTGGTAAAAATTGCATGCGTTTTACTTATTAAAATAAACTTATCAATTAAATTTTCTATGAAAGTCATTCATGGTTTAGAAAAAGGTTTTCTTGAATTTTGATTCCTGTTTTTTAAAGTTTATTTATTATCTTGTTATCCCTTGCTGGTAATTTGGTTTGTGTTCAAATGCCGGCAAACAAGCTGCCTACATGAAAGCTTTCGAGTACAGTTTCCTAAAAATGTCCTCTACGAACGTATTCTTCTTCATAGCCCTCGAATGCTTTACCATAATGTAAACTATTCCGTTCCTTAGGATTTACTGCAATATTTTGATAAATTTCAGATATTATTATTTATGTTTAGCAATTTTTGACAATGCTTTTACAGAAAAGAATGTGTACAGTGAAGATTTTGATTATTTTCATGAACTGATTTAATTTGTTAATTTTACTGCTCGTTGTTGCACAAAGTTATGAGTTATGTTGTAAAATAAAACAATGAAGTAATTGGTCCACCTGCGTTTAATGTTTATTCAATATTAGTTATTTCTTATTTAATCTTTTTAATCTTATCTCCAAGTTCCAAAATGTATATACAACTTTAAAGTTGGACTTATTATTTACTTTTTAATTCTCCCACCCTCATTTTCATACAGTTCATACCATAGCGAGTTTCAGTATAGAATTCATACTGGAGCGTTCTCTTATTCAATACTCATGATATACTTACTCGTAATATATATTATATATTTTTATTTCAAAATTTACTCTAATTCTACTATTTGTGTAATATTTTCTACTAAATAATTAAATTTAATTACGATTCTAAAATTCTTTAATTACTCTATTTTTTTTTTATTTTCACTTTTCATTTCGGTACTTGAAATGAATTTCAAAATAATGTCGATAGGGTTAATAACCATTTTAATCAGCTTATATTTTAACTGGGGAATTTCTTTTCAGAGATTACGTCACCTACCAGTACGTCACCTAGCACCACATCAATTACACATCATTGAATTAGAAGGGGCCGAAATCCATATCAGTTACTGGTATATTATTTAAAGTGCATTTTCCGTACACCCTATCTAAATTTTCTAATGTTAAAAAAATCTAGAAATGAAAATCACTATTCTTTATCCCTAAGATTATAAGTCTTTACGATTAAACTTATGGTGAAATAAAAATTAGTAAATACAAGCCAAAGTAATTTTAAAAGAAGCGCTCTCTTGTCAAAAATAAAAACTCAGAGTCTAAATATAACTTATGTAAACCTAGTTGAAATTTCCTATATAAAGCCCTGAAACGTCAGATTCGGTTATTAATGGACGCCAGTTCTTTCTAACGCAATAATTACTGTTGACAGCTAAATTCCTTTACGATATAAATGAAAAACTGCTTTCAAGTATCAGTGCCACAGACTTCAGATTATTCGCATTACGCAAATATCTAAATTGAATTACTTCAAAAGCCTTATTTCGCATCAGGGATGATTGCCTTTAATTAGAGAACAGCAATCCTTTATCAATTACTTAGCTATCGAAGTAACAGCCTTGCGGCAATGCCATCTTTAAAGTAAGATGAGTGACAAAGTATCTAATCTCAAATTCAGTTTTAGTATATGCGTTTTTCTATTGTTACTTCCTATCCATGTATGAATAACAGCCGAAGGGTGTGCTCGAGATTGAAAGAAATACGGAAAACTCTTTAAAAGATGGAGGAAGTCTTGCAGAAATGATTTCATGCTTCAGTAGATAAACATTTCTTTTATTTTATTTGTGCTTCAAGGAGTTAAAATAAAAAGTTGTATCAAACTATAAGAGTGTTATGTCTGTATAGACCCTTATAATAGGATATAGAGGAAACATTTGCTTAAAATATTATTTAGGCGTATGGTAGTAAAATCTTACGGTAATTTCTAATATACTCGCTGACAACATTACTCAAATAGATTTTCATTGGTTGTAAAGAATTGGCTGCTTATGTACTGCCACTGTGCTCTGCTTATCTTTTTTTCCTCTTAAATGTAAAATTATTATTTTATGTGTTGTTATACTGTAATAACTAGAATTTGTACTGTTGTAAATTAATGTAAATATATGTTTAAGTTATATGTGAATTTGTTATACGTCGAAGGATGCGTATTATTATAACTTATCATATAAAAATCTTGTCCTGGTAAAATAAAATATGTAAACACGATCATGCTTGTAAAACTAATGGACGACATTAATGTAAGAATCTAAAAGCCTTTTGCAAATGCTACTATTTGTAGAATCATGCTAAAACACAGAACTCATGTCGCATTTAATTTATTTACCGCATACTCTCTTCAATGCTAGAAACCCAGACCATTGCCATTCGGCAAAGCATTAGAATATGATTTGAGTGAAAACGTTGACCTTTACCAGATGTAAACGCGTCTTAATAACTAAAGCTTTTACACTTTTTTAAATATTGTATATAATTGATATAAAATAGGTATGTTTAATATGATATATCTAAATGACAATTTTTATTGTATTTGAAGTTTTGTTTTCCTTGCAAAAGGTATTTTTGATTCCATACATTACATAACCGGTACGGAATCGTTTTTTAAATTTTTAATATAGACCGTTTTTAATGTTTTTAAGATTTTTTTTCCTCTCTCTCTCGGTATTTTTCACTTTTGTTTTAATTTTTGTCAAGTTAATTTATGTCAAGTTTCTAATTTTTCAAGCTTTTAAATTTTAATTTTCAGCTTCTAGACTGTCGTCTGAAGTACTTAGGTGGTAATTTAGATATTTGTTTTACATTAAAGTTAATTTGAATTTCTGATGTTTTATTTAGAATAGAATGAATTTTATACTTCGCTGTAATGAATAAAAGTTTTTAATTCAGAGTCCAGTCCGAATTTTATTTTTCGTATGAAAATTGTTTCGTATAGTAAAATAATTGGACGTTAAATCGTCTACAAGACATTTTCGTGTTACCTTGTAAATTTTGGGGATCAACCATCTCTGTTTTCCATTCATTGCTGTTGTGATACTTTTAACTAATATTGAACTGTATAATGTTTTGGTTTTATTATAATTCGTATGTTTATATGTTTTTTTAATTTTTATAGATATCTGATGTATGATATATAGATATCTGATTTTATAGATATCTGATTTGATTATCTGATTATTTATAGATATCTGATTTGATTATCTGAATATTTATAGATATCTGATTTGATTATCTGATTATTTATAGATATCTGATTTGATTATCTGATTATTTATAGATATCTGATTTGATTTTATATAAATCTGAAATTGATTATCTGTCAATTTTTATAGTTGTCTGATTTTATCCTGCTGAATGCTGATTCCACATGTTTGATTCATGGCGAATGAAAGAGCAACAGAAACTGAGGAAGAATCATATCCCATTTTCGATGAGCAGGATTTTGTTCAACTTTATTGCAATTTCTCTGAAATTAACCAAACGGAGTATTCCAATGGTAAGTATTCACGTTATTTAGCTCAATATGTAGGTTCATTACAAATGATCCACCGGGTTTCACGAGCGCTAAATTCCGCAAAGCATTGCAAATAAAAATAAAAAAGCTGCGTAAAATGAATTTCAAATTTTAGTTGTAACACTACAAATATTCTACGTGCATTCCTCTCAGTACACAACACACGTTCAAGCGGTAGTTTAACACTCCTAGGCTGATAGTCACCAAATCAATTTCAGTGCTATCTTGGAGATTTTCTTAATGCTGTATAAAGTTGTAGAATGAACCTAAATATTGTTGTTACTTTAAATAAATCAAAATACACACTGGATGGTAAAATCAAAGGACATTGATCATCATCTGAGCCAGGGAGGTAGGAAATAAGCCATCATCCTCCATAATCTAATCTTACCTCCATGATATTAACAGTGTTGAATCAGCTCCTCCAGTGTCGACAATCTAATGGTATGGAAGCTTATCATTCGGGCAGGGACTTGCTTGATTACACCCTATATGTTGGCACCCTATCGTGCTGAAATAGCAATTTTTTATCACATTTTATTCGAGGAAATACTCACTCTGGTAGCGTATCAAGGTGCGACATTCTTACTCGTCTCAATGTTCTCGAAGAAAGCAAGAAAGGCCTGTACATGTTTTGAGTATAAAATAAATTTTTGTTTCGATGAATTCCACTTCTGTTCAATAAGGCCATAGCAATCTATGATTCATCTCTGTAGAGTTTTGCGATGATTTGCCACTCCGTACATATGAAACATCACTTCGTCATTGAATATTAAATGGTGGGAAAGCCATTGCCTTGCAATACTTCTTGAATATAATTTTAAAATATATATTGCTTGGTGTAACAATCTGATTGAAAATATTATAAGATTTGTGAATGGTATGGCTTTCATTTCGATCGCAGTTTCAAAATTTTTCAAACTGTCGGACCATGAATTGCAAGTTAAAATATCTAGGGCGATTTATTCCCTGCTAAAAATGCCCCATAGAAACCAGTAAAACTTTTTATGGGTACCCATAAGATTTTATGGGTTTCTATTGACTTTTACTGGTTTCTGTTGGCTTCTGTGGGGGTTTTTTTACTGGTTTCAAAATGACCCATAGAAACCAGTAAAACTTTCTACTGGTACCTATAGAATTTTTGATGGTCTCTATTGACTTTTACTGGTTTCTATTGATCTCTGTGGGATTTTCTTACTGGTATCAATTGACACCCATACAACCAACATTCAATGGCAGAACTTTGTACTGGTTTGTATAGGTTTATATTGACTTTTACTGGTTTTCTTACTGGTATCAATATAATAATAAATCTTCTGTTGGTTTATATGGGTTTATGCTATTTTTTTATCTGACGTTAATAGACTTCTTGTAAACAATAAAATTAACAGAATGAAAATATGATCTCTTTAAGACCATCAGAGTAACCTGGAAACGCAGGTGGTCGTTTTAGAGAGGGTTTTTACTAAATATGCTTATTTATTTGATTAATTTTAAAAACTTTTTTCGGAAACAATAACAGTAATCATATACACCACACACAATGAGGTCTCTCTAAGGCGACCAGCCGCAAATAAAAATTCATCTTTGCAAGTGGTCGCCTTAGAGAGGTGATGCTCAATACCAATATATACTCACGTTCTCAGAGATACGTTTATCTTTTAGAGGTGGTCGTCTTAGGGAGATTGCACCTACGGAATGAATCTCTCTAAGGCGACCAGCCACACTCGCAGAGTTTTCTTTGTGAATGGTAGCCTTCCAGAGGGAATGGTACTTACGTATTATCGCAACCAGGCCAAAATTTGCATAAATTGCCAAATTTGGCGACCTTACTTACGGCAACCCTACGTGTTATACGTAGTTTTGTAAAAAGAGCATGTGGAGATTCACAAAATTTTCCTGCATTTTCGTGCAAATTTTTGTAATTTATGAGAAAATAGCAGTGTACATGGATAAAGTCAAGAGTGTGCGCAATGCCATTTTTGTGCAATTCTGGGATGTTTTTTAAAAAAAAATAAGTCGACGTGTACATGGTTATGGCGAATACGGTTTTCAATCAGTGCTAAAAGCAATAGCCAAAAGATTTCGGCCGAAAAGATAATTCTGCAACTATTCAAATTCGAAACCGGAGGGTTTTTGCTATTTTATATTTAAAAAAATAATATAAAAACTGTATTTTATCTGTACATTTGAAACTTACAAGTAGCGCCAACCTGGTTGCGATAATACGTAAGTACCGAAGGAATATTCAATACCAAAGTATACTTAGGTTTTCAGAAATGCTGGTCTCTTTCAGAGGCGGTCGTCTTAGGGAGGTGGTTTTTGCTATGAGTTGGTTCTCTGAATACACACACATAAGCACTTACATTTCTGATATTACAAATAAACACCGGTATCAACCAACATCTCTTTAACGCGAACAAGTTCATTCACAATCGCAAAACTTTTCTCTCTGTTAGCGCTGACGTGAGGAAAAAAATTCCCCTTCCCTCCCCCACTCTCAGAAGTTTCCCAAACAAGCAATATGGCGCCGCTCTAGTTTATTGTTGTGCGATGGTGGTGTTATTTTTTCTTCGTGGTTGTAGTAATGCAATATATTATTTACTAGGATTTACTGTATTACAAATTTTACTATGTTTTACTGTTTAGAAAATTAGTAATAAATAATAAAATACCAGCACTGACTATGAATATACCACTAAAGCCATGCACGTGTAATCGTGTCTAATGTTTGAGAGAACGTTGCTGATAACTGACTAGTTGTGAAATGGAGTTTCTGTGCGTGAAATTGATTTTCCATCTTTACTTTTATCCTGAAAAACAATGTGCTTAAAGACTGAAAAGTGATAATTTCAGACTTGATAATTTGGTTCAGTGTGCAGATGCAGATGTGATCAGATGCAGAAATATAGTTTTTGCATTCTACTGAAACTGTATTTTGGAAAATTTTTTTTTTTTTTTTACAGTTTAGAAATACTTTTTAAAGCTTGTTCATGTAGATGCTTTATCATTTGAATATTATGTACTAATAAATTTGAGCATACCTTACTTAAAAATGATCTTTGCATGATTCAATTTTTCGACTAATGTGATGTGGCCGAGAACAAAAAGAATGTTTTTTTTTTAGTTTTGTTTTAAAAAATGTACTAATTATATTTCGCGAGCAAAAAAGGTAAGTTTTATTAATGAAATAAACATTGAAATATTTAATGTGTTTATTACTTATTGAATGGGGTAGACAAGACATACAAGCTTAAGGAATCTTTTTTCCACTACTAAAATTATGTGAAAATTTAGATGATCATAGTAGCTTACATTGTTTTTTCTTTTTGGTCTATTTTTCTTTACAAGTATGAGACTAGAACCACATTTTTACATTAAATATTTTGTGCTATTTTGTTAAAACACATATAATCATTTTTATGCATACTTTAATTTTCATTATTATTAGTTTGATGAAGAAAATTTCAAATGTGTTTTTCATAAATTGCTTTTGAAATAGATTTGTGAATAAGATTTATGTAATATTAAATGTACTAGTCTTGGGAGTATAAAAAGTGAATTATTTATTTGAAACAAATTACATTAAGTTGAAACCTCATATAGTGGTTATTTTCTTAAATGACCACCTCTGATAATGGCACATTTGTCAGGACATTAATTAAATAACATTTATGTTCCTTTGAGATGATATATGAAAAACCTTGTGTAATAATAAATTATTAATATATATAGGTAAATGGTATTTTTATATATTTTTTCGCGTAAAGTGCAGAATCGTCCACTTATTTATTTGGCACTTACAAAAGTAAAAGGAATTGGATTTTTGTCAATTTTCTTTTGACGTTTTAAGTGAAAATAGGTCGATGCGTACATGACTAAAATCGAAGGAATGCGCAATGGCATTTTTGTGCAATTCTGGGATGTTTTTTTAAGTGAAAATAGGTCGATGTGTACCGAGTATGTGCAATTCTTAAAAACACGCCAAGCAGTGGGCGATTCTACACTTTCCCCATTTTTCTGTAGGAGTTTAGTTTCATTAAATTAGTTATTTAGTATAATTATGTGTATAGGAGTATATTCATACTTATTCACATAGATGGAATTTTTACAGTACGAAAGTTGATCTTTTTTACATCAAGAACTACATATAGTATAAATACCCATTATGTTATAGATTTTATTGATATAAAATCTGTGGAAGATTATATAGCACTAAAAGTGAGATTGTAGCCTTGGCTACTAATGTTTAAAATTAATTTATGACTAGGAACAGCATGAATTATAAACAAATAGCTAAGTTATTGCATTTTATTTTCCGGCTATCGAAATGCGACGCTACGAGCAGCGTTTTGAAACCAAAACCTAGCAATCATGAATCAGAACTAGAACTAGTTGCCATTCAGCATAAAGAAATTTAAATATAAATATGAACTACTTATTGCCATTCAGCATAAAAGAAATATAAATATTAATATTAACAAAATATTAAAGTTAATTTTATAAAATAATTAAACACATGAACAAATATATGAAATAAAATAATTATTTCTCATGCAATAACTGGGCCAATTAAACACATAAACATAAACAAATATATGAAATAAAAAAAATAATTATTTCATCATGCAATAACTGGGCCACTACAAGATACGGAATAAAACATATTATACGTTATGTGACATATTTCCTTAATTCCCGAACTGTGCGTTGAGAATTGGTATTTTTTGAGAACTTGTAAATTTTTTAAAATTGGTTGTTGTTACAATATAATTTATTGTATTTTGTGGTATTATTAAGTATATTATTATATGTTATCTTTCATGTTTCATTTATCTTTTGAGAGATACAGGTAACATTCAAAGTATTGTAATAAGGGGTTGACACAGTGTTTATATATTATTATTTCTTCACTACATTATATTCTTGGATTCATCCTTTCACGCAAAACATCTATGTGTATGCATGTCATAATAAGCTGA